TATTGTATTATTGAACTTTATTGTAAGTAGACTAACATCTCCCTTTGGAGAGTACGGCGCAATAAAGAGATACTATTAAAGAGTCACCATGAGCGCATCACTCTGTTTGCCTCATTGGGGATCTAATGGGGTGATGACCAATTTTGGCCATTCAACAGAAATTTTTTTTAACAGTCGACTTTTTTCACGACCATCGGTTAAAATTTGGCAATTTTTACGCCTACGGGCTAAATGTTTGGCCGTCTTACGGCGATCGGTTAACCTCATTGAGAACTACTTTGTTTGCATTAAAAACCGAGAGGTAACAGGAGCTTAGTGAATTCTTAAAAAATTTCCATGGATGACAACAGAAGCAAGGGATTTTTTTTACCTAAAACCATTTCCGCTTTCGGTTCGTGTCATAAAATTTTGTTAAATACCTTGTCATTTTATATTTACTGCAGAGCTATGGTTCAATTTTTCCAGCTACAGGCTGCATTGCACGTAATTCCCGGCAAATGTTCTACTAGATACTCTGCTTGAGGAGCAATTGAGTATTGGCTGTGTCTGACTCTCCTGCTTAATTTTTCATTTTGGAAAGTGCATTTATGGACTTCAGACTGGGCTATTATTAAGGATAACACTATTTATTCCTTTTCTAGCTCAAACGGTCGATATCTGAACTTGGTTGCACCTTTTGTGTCTGCTCTATGCGTGTTATTTCAATCTTCAAACGTGTAATGGAATTGTAAGTATTTGCTTCATTCGCGAGCCATCATGAACCACGTTCTAAAATCATACAACCGCATAGTGACTTAGTTACACAAACATGGACCATTAACCGGCACTTAATGATACAAACTTTGCTATTAATGGCACATTTTATATCCGATACAATTAAATCATTTGTTAGTACCTTGCTGAAGTCTGATTGTAGAAGCAGATGGATTTGATATCGTGATATCTGTAAAGTTCTGTGACCCAACCGGATTTCTCGGGAACTAGCGACGACAAGAGCTCGACAATTTCCGCCTGACTTGATCTTAACTTCAAGGAAAATCTTAGGAAGTAGTTCAAATTGTCAAATTAGAAGGTACAATTTTGCCAGCCTTGAATATGATATATACCACAAAGTGACTAATACAGCATGAGGACGTAAAGGTACTTTACGTTAAAGAGGAAAAGTTAGATGGTCAAACGTCAATCAAGGATTTCCGAATTGGGATTATATGCAAATTACCCCGCCAGCATTAAGAGCCTTTGCGCGTGACATTCAACTTCCAATCTCTTTCCAGTGGGGTGGAAAGAATAGAGAATTTGGGAATGTCACCAAAAATAGATTGGAGGCATTTTGTTGGGGAATGGTAAATGGAATCTGGAAGGGAAAATGCAAAATAGAAATAAGATATACACATCTTCTCAAAATTGTTAGTTAGATAATGATATGAATAACCCTTACGAGGGAGGGGGGCGGGGTAGCTGTGATGATTGACGGTTCTTATTTTTCGACTAAGAAAGTTGACGGTGAATTTATCAGGCCTTTGACGGTCGGCGGTCAAATTTGAGGGCCTTTTGGCGGTTGACGGTTATTAGGAAAATATATTTCTATGAGTCAATATATATATATATATATATATATATATATATATATATAAAGGTGTTCTGTCTTTTTACAGTATATGAATGATGACTGTTACGGTTGTATATCTTACGCATTTTTACGATTTTCTTCTATTGGATGTTACGTCAGTATCTCGCACACTTTTAGGATTCTCTTTCATCGGATTATTACGTTAATGACTCGAGAAATTTTGGGATCCTCTTTCATTGGATTGCTATGTTAATTTAACATTAGCCCTTCGCCTACTTTTAGCATACTAAACACAGATCAAAGACAGAAACGTCCTTGATCTCTAGGGAATCATGAAGATGATGGCGAAAACTGCCAGTGAGGAATTTCACGACGGCTTCCAAGACACCTGAGTAAGGGTGATCTCAGTTGAGATTTTATCGAAAGGCAGGAATGGTGCGTAGAGGCGTGTACAAAGACAAGTTATAAATAAAGTCGGCTATTTTTCTAAGTTAAACTATTGAGAAAAAAAAATTATCTTAACTGCCTGTTAGAGGCGAAAATCAATGAAAACGAAGAGACTGAGCATTTTTTTGTAAGACTAGTTTATCATTCTAAAGTTTCCAAAACTGTTGTTAGCAAGCGGCTCAAGTAGAGATGTTCTTTAAATTGTTTGGTGGTTGATATTGATTTGAGTTTTTGACGGTTGACTGTAAAAATAGATGCTTTTGACGGTTTTCATCAATCAAATTTTCCCTTTCAGATCAAATCGTTTTTCACCTTTGTGAGTTTTTTTCTTTATCTTCCGAGGCCAATAAAAACAAGTGAGTAGTGTATGAATTATATCAAGTACTGTAAATAACAACAAAGATAATGGTAATCATAAAGATAGTATCCATTATAATATAGAAGTCTAGAGTCTGCCCTTTCGCTGTAAGGTGCGGGTTGGAGTTCAGAAATTTCGACCCCTTTTTGATGTCAGTATTTACGTTTCGTTTGTCTAAATTAGCTTCCAGACACCGGTTGAGAAGTCATTCTCATCGAGTACTAAGTGGCCTAAAAGGGGGAATTAATTGGTGTGCATTTCCTTCTTCTTTCAAGTTTACATTTCGAGTGCGAAGGTTTCATCTGGGTTTCCAAACACAAGAAAACTGATGAAAGCACGAGGCTGCAGGCCGAGTGTTTTTTATTGTTTTCGAGTGTTTGGAAACCCTCATGAAACCCGATGCACGAGTTTTAAAAAAATCGCTTCTCAATCGCGCCTCAGGAATAAAAGAAAATGGAAATATTCACGAGTTTTTCACATGTTGTCAAACAATCACATGTTTTCATTGAATTAAGAAATGAGTTCACTACAGTTTGATGCTTTCTCACACTCAAGGGTTTGATAATATATGAAACTCATGGATAGCGCGTCATTGCAGTGTTTCACCAGGGTTTCAGACAACATGCACGTGACGAAATTGGCGTGTCTCGGTTGGATGATCACATTATGAATAATAAATGAGTTTGAGAAGTCTGGAGTTAGTGACCTAGATGCTATAAATCTCGTAAATTGCGAACATTGTTCATAAATCTTATAACGACTACAAGCGTTGGTTTTTATTTTGTCGAACTTATGTACAGATGATAATAAGTGGACGTCAATATTCTGAACCATTTACTACACTAATTGCTGCTGAGATCAAATCTGTTTATTCAAACTTTAAATTAACTGTGATTTATTTTGTTGCACTGTATCATTGAAGTTAGAGCATGAGAGGATAAGACTAGTTAAAGACGTATGTCCAAGTTTCAGAACCCCGCAATGAAAGGAACAATGAAATAAAAATAAGTAACAGCGAATGAAATCAGTGGCACATTAGTATAAAAATATACAATTTTGTATTAACAAAAGTACAAAAATCAGAAAAAAAATGCTTGATGATCAAAGAGTAAACAGATGAGTGAACAGACTTATTCCTGATGAGTGATTGCGGGTTGACATACACGTAGAAACACGCAAATCTGAGTACAGTTTTTACTTAAAAGTAAAAAAGTAAAGCTTTTATACCCATGGGGCCGGTACTTAACTCCTTAGCGTGAAGCGGCCAGGGGTATTGCTACTCCCCCCTGGATGGGATGCTAGTCCATCGCAGGATTGCCCCCAGCACGTTTGCTGGTACCCAATTGTACACCTGGGTGAAGAGAAGCACGGTGTGAGTAAAGTGTCTTGCCTAAGAACACAACACAATGACCCCGGCCAGGGCTCGAACCCATGAGGCCACCGCACCTCCACGATAGTTTTTACTTGCCCCAGCAAAAAAATTGTATTACATTGATATCAAGTGAATATATTCTCTTAGTGATATTTGACACAATTCGCTAATATTGCCATTACACTCAATCTCATTCATGTATAAGTGTATCGAATGTAGGCCTTCTAATTTTAGTGCTTTATCGAATGTAGACCCACAGTACAACTATTATGGGAAACTGATGTAACCATTTTTTCTCACTGTCAAAACTATCTCGAAGCTGAGTATGGAACACAGCGTTACATTTGAAATAGGAATTTTAAAAAATTAGCCGTAGTCGTTCACTTTCTTCGGAACGCGAACAACATCTAATTATAAAGCAAGTGCTCTTTGTACATCTCCCGTTTGCTGCGACCACAAGAAGTATCGCCAAGTTAGCGATTTGCCTTTGTTTGACGCGGCGTTAACGACATTTTAGGCAAAGAGGCGTTGTGAACGGGAGAGGGGGGGACAGGTCACAGCCAGCAAGACAATTGATGTCCCCCTCCCGCTCAACATTCATATGAAGAGATTTCGAGCTCTATGGCTACCACAACCGTCACGTTAACAAGGGGTCAGTGATTCTACATTTCTTTCCATAAGAGAAGTATTAATTTGTTTGGAAAAATAACATGAAAGGTAGAACAAGTTTGCAGAGCTTCTTTGAATGAGAATTTTTCTTCGGGAGACATGTTTCATACACCAGTAAGTCTTCAGTCACGACAAATTCAGAATCGCAGTTACTATGATTAGAGGGTGCACGTTTGGTTTGATTGGGAACACCTTCGGGAAACTAAAAAATAAGGGGACATAACTTAAGCGGGGGTGGAACTCACAGAGAGAGATGAGACAAGGGCGTTCAAGTAACAGATGCACAAGAAGACGGGGAAGAGCCAAGAAGGCTACGCCTAGAGGTAGCAATGAGAATAACCCAAAACAGATTAAGGTGGCAACCAGTTTCTATGGACCTTTGATTCACTGGCAGTGGTAGCGATTGAGCCAAGAAAGAAAACATGATAAACGTCTGTACAAACAATGACTTTTTGTCAAAAAAACATTGGCTGTCGATCTTGAATCGCTTTTGCAAACTAGAGATAACTACAGTCAACACATTTTGATGATAATTTTCACAGAAATATTAAAATTTCTGTTTATACTTGGCTACAATCAATAATACAATAAGAAATGAACCGACAAGAATAAGTGGGAAAGTGGAATTTGGGCTTCTCGTGCCTTGGCTTGGCTTTTTAAACTGGTTAAACAACCTTTCTGCGAAATGTTGACAATTATCGTCTAATAGATTATACGTTTTGTCAAGTTCATTTTCACAAATAAACTTAATCAAATCTCTCATAGATCCTCTCCCCTCGTTTTCATCGATCATCGTTACTGGTGTATACCTAGCTTGACCCTCTTTACACTTCTTTACACAATCCTTTGCTTTCGACCTTTGCAGGAGAATCTTTTCTGAATCCTTTCCGATCGACCAATACCAATTAGTTGTTTCAATCACTAAAAACTGATGATAGGCGAACAGGTTCTCCTCTATGTTTTCGACAAGAGGGCATCGATAACTACCAATATATTGTATCTCCTCGCTGTTCGTAATCCTATGCAGGTCTTCCACACATTTTTGCAGCGAGTAGCGGTTAACTTCGATCTTGCCATTTTCTGTGTAAAAATATGTGCGTAACTGATTCGTCCATTTTCCACCCTTCGAACCACTGATGCTTCCGCTCATCATCATATGACAAATGTTCTAACAGGTAAAGATATAAAATGAAAAAACATATTTTTAAAAAAACCGACATCATTTTCCTGCCCGTATGGACCAGGTCGTCATTTTATTAACTCATGCAGATATCAGCGTCAAGTCGCTTGATAAATTTAAAGCAATCACTCGTACGTTGTGATTTTTTCCATGAGCAGCGATGGGATTTTTTCTCAGCGCGCAAATGTTCCGTAGAAATGGGCCATAAAAAAGACAAACAAAAACAAATAAAATACACAAAATGATAAAACAGAGAAAGAAAAAACTTCATCGTGACGTGGTACAATGAACCATCATTCTCCTCGCCTTCGCTGAATCAGCTTTTAGCTAGTTTAAATATGTAGCTCGTAAAGGCTCTATTTGTATTTGAAATTCAACCATGCTAACTCTTGAAAAATATCATAATCGATCAGCTGTCGATGACAAGGACACACATTTCTATCAGTTCTTACCTTTACTTTCAATAGTTAGACGACTTCTCGTTCCTTCATTCCCTTATGTCACGCTCGATCGAGTTAAATTCCGTCACCCTTTACAAATTCCTAAGTTAATTAAATATATATTCCTGTCAACATAAACGAATAAAGGGGGTGAGTTTCTAAAGAAATTGCGATGCTACGTCAGTGAAGGGTGTTACAAGATAATTTGGTTTCATCAATTGAAATGATATGAATTGGCCATCGTAGAGATGTTCTAAAACTGACCTTACGAGGGTTTTTTATTTATTTTTTTAAATATATTTTTTATTGTTTTCCCCAAAAGCACCTAGGCTTAACGAGGGGGGTTACAATATTACAAATACAAAATCAGTGTATTCAGCTTCACACACAAACGGACACATAAACAACGCATACAAGTTGCAATAACAACGAGTAAAACTTTCTAAGTTAGGAATATATTATTTAAACAATCCAACAATGACCTCAGAAAAGCGATTAGTGTTAATTCTAAAACTTTGTACTTCGCGAAAAAAAGCAGAGTTGACGTCGTAATTTACAGACTCGACACCATGCAATAAAATTTTGTTTCCTAGCATCCCCTCTCGATGACCATGTTTGCGAGCGTTAGTCCTCCATAAGAGTGGATTCGCTCTGAAACGCCAGCTTTAGAATCCCTTTACGGTTGCAAATTCCCCTTATCATTTCTGTCAGTTGATAAATGGAGAAAATTACATAGGTACAAGAAGATATGGAATTTCTCTTCGAGTGTTCAACTCGATAGCTCACGGGTCAGATATCGATTTGAACACGAGAAGAGAGCTGATTACATATCTGCTAGCAACCATTTATTCTATTGTCTTTTAGATAAACACAGTAGGCCTTTCCTGACAAGAAAAGTCGATGTATTAATAAATGAAAAACATAGGATCCACAACCCACGTAAAAAAGTCGTAAAGTATGTCGGCGATTGTCGGCGATAAGTCTCAAGATGGGAAAATACGTTGAATCATAACAAAAACAAAAAAGGGGATAACTTTCAATTCACAGAATTCACAATTAAAGACTTTTTCTTTGCCAGGTACACGGCCAAAATTGGTCAGTGGCAAATCTTCTAGCTGTCTATTTTTGTTCTCAGCCGTGAGAAATGCCATTACTAAAGTCACTGAATACCAAACTTTTGGTTGTTCTTGTCCTACTTTGTTTTTCTTCTGCCTCTAAGAAATTTTGAAGTTCACTGTTTGTGAGCGATACAAATTTTTCAGTGTTTTAGCAGCCGTAATCCGAGAAATTTCGACAAACGAACGGTGAACGACCAGTCAGAGTGGCGCAAAATGCGAATGACGTGTCAGCAGCAGCGAATATTTTTTAATAATCCCGGCGAATAATTGTTCAATACCAAATTATCTTGTGACATCGGAAACTACAGACCACTTTGCATAATCTGGTTCAGTGCTCTGACCCGGAAAGAGCATGCGAAAGACAAGAAGACGTCAAGATACGATTATGAGCTTCTATTGAACGAATTGATCAACTTGACCGGCATTTCTTACTTTAAAACTCATTGAGAGCGGTGAATCATCATTTTCTCAGTTAAGGCAAACACTAACGAATAAATTGTAAAATTTCTCAAAGTGTGAGCGAACTGGAGACGTGGAAAGCAAAGTTTCTCTGCTGATTTCCTTAAGAGCTGTACATTGAACGATCGTTAAGGCTTTCGACGCTTCCGTTGAGTCACGCTTTATAAAACACGTGGCTGTTTTAATGATATTTCACATCCAAATATGAAAGACACAATTCTGAAACATTAGCTGCTCTTAAAGCTTTACTATTTTGCTTCAAGTAAATTATGCTAACTGATGGAGACGTTACAACAAGGACACAACTCGATCATTTTCTTACTTTCACTTTCAATACTTTGACGCCATCTTAGCCCTTCATTCGCTTTGCTTTGCCATAATCACTAGTCCGACGAAACGTATGCTACTCTTTTCATAAAATAACCTTGAATTTGACTTACCAGAATTCGAGAAGCGACCTCTTGGAATAAAGATTTGACTTCTATCTTCTTCTCTGGTTCTCATGAAGAGGGTTTGATAGCTTAATTCAAGGATACAGACTCTCTGAAGATTCAACTCTTGCAGACAGAGAGGGCGAACCAATTGTGATGCAAACTATAAGTATAGTAGCTGCTTGAGAACCAGGTTAAGTAGGAGTGATTATACTTCCCACGTGATTTTGATAATTAGGAGCAAAGCACATGTACGAACCCTCAGCGGCGTTGATCAGCTTTGTGTGACGCCGTCCAAGTTTTTATCATGTAGCGAATAAATTAGTTTCTTGACCTCTACATTATCAGGAGTGTGACGTAGGGGTTGCCTTCGTTTTTGCGTGGGTGCGTTCAAATCTCTCAGGCTAATCAAATGAATGTAGCTGCTTCTTCACTCTGCAAACTTCATTGCGGAGACGAGAACTCTTGAACTGCGTGTGTTCGGGTGTTTGAGTGTCTTATGGGCGGCCTTTACCACCAAAAATACAAGGATGTCAAATAGATCAGCAAATACAAAGCTGGTCTAAGAATGAGCGGCAGGATAGCATAGCTAATAAAGGATTGGCATGGCCGAATTATAGGCGGTTTAGTTTTCCTTCATGAAACAAAACATCCTAAACGTGAATAATTAAGCCAAATGATAAATGGTCTAGTTCCCTATGTCGAGTTGGAACATGAAATTGTGAAATGGACTAGCTCAGTTGCGAATAGCTTAGCACTCATTTTCAATACAGTACAAAAACGGTTTAGCGTTACGTAAAATGGCTCAGCGTAATGTCGAATGGTACCGTGTACACACATAAGGTTTAGCGTTGCGTGAAATGGCTTAGCGCAATGTCGAATAGCACAGCGCGCACACAAACGGTGTAGTGTTGCGTGAAATGGCTCAGGGTAATGTCGAATAGCACAGCGTACGCACAAACGGTGTAGCGTTGCGTGAAATGGCTCAGCGTAATGTAGAATGGTACAGCGTACAAACAAAAATTGCAGCGTTGTGTGAAATGGTTCAGCGTAATGTCGAATGGTACAGCGTACACACAAATGGTGTAGCGTTACGTCGAATAGCTTTGCAGAAAATCAGATGCTCTAGCTGAACATTAAATTGCTTAACATTATATAAAATATTTCGATGTTGTAGCGAATCGTCGAGCTTGCTTGTGCGTGACGTGAAGGCTATGTCGCCGAAACCACCAAAACTACAAACTGCAAATGGAACAGCGATCTGCTGGGGGCATGACGTCATCTAATGTAAAAATTGGCGCGAAACTATCACATGGTGTACTCGCTGTGTTGAAGAGTCTTCACTTCGCCTTGCCGTAAAGCAGAGCCAATTCGTAGCTTTTCGGTAAGTTTGTCCTCTTTTTTTCCTGCCGATATTGCATTTATTCGTTGTCGTTCATGAAGGTATTAATTGAAATAGCAACGAGACTGAATTCTGCCACGGTTTGCCGGCCTCCAGGTTTACCACAATTCAATTAACGCTTTCATGAACGACAACGTTTGTTTCGCGGTTCGGTTGAATACTTATATTATTTAAGCAAATATCTCTTGTGTGACGTAATTACAGCCTCCTTTTCAACGAAATGGGAATAGAGAAACCTCAAATCAAAAACCCCGAAAGCGTTGACTATCCAGCCAAGTCATTTTGCCTTTACTTGAACGATGCAACAATTTCAGGATTGTAGCCCTCTTCTTCAAAACAGCAACATGGAAGGTAAGAGGATATTATGTTAAATAAGCTGTAGATTGGACGTAAAATGCCAAACAATTGAGTTTGCGTGTGAATGTGTACATTTTCGGCTAACTAACGGCACTGTCGAATCGGCGCATTTTATCCAACTTTAAAATTTGATTAAGTCGCGCTGAATCGTTTCCCCTAAAAATCCTTTGGAGATCGAAAAGAACTACACTTCATTTTGCAAAAGCCAGATTTTCAGTCAATTACTTTGTGTAGCACATAGTTAAATAACGGGTAACTTTTGACCTATTTTTGAACTAGTCTGAAGTAGGTTAGATTAGGGTATGTATCTCGCACCAATCAAATCACAGCATTTAGTTACTTTGGACCAGTCACAGCGTGTAGGGAATGAATCTCGCACCAATCAGATTGCCGCACTCGGGTATGTACCTCGCACCAATCATATTGCCGCATAAAGGCATGTATCTCCACCAATCACATTGCCGCTAAGGGTTTGTATCTCGCACTAATCAGATTGCCGCATTAGGGTATGTGTCTCGCACCAATCATATCACAGCATTTGGATTTCTTGTACAAACCACAGCGTTTGGGCTTTCTTACAAATGATGTTATGAAATCAAGGGGCAGTGCACAAAGAGTTATACTAACCAGAAACTTCGCGCTCATTTGAAAAGTGAAATGGTTAGTGGCCTTCACGAGAACTTCGTCGACCAGGGTCGAAACTTATCGGAATATGAGAGATCCGCATTTAACTTTTGTATCATTTCTAAGTTAAAAAGTGTTTTTCCGCTCCTTTACTCACAACGCACAAGCCAAACAACTTACATTCCGTCACCTACCATGAAAACAACGTCCAAAGTCTGATCAGATTTTGTAAAATTTAATCATCCGTTATAGCATTTTTGCAAATGCAGGCGTCAGACGAACAAGGCGGCAATAGAGGTCTTCTCAAAGCCGAGTTAGAAAACGTATTTGGAAAACCCTAACCGAAAGTGGCGGGTAGTCATCGAGAAGTGGTCGGTAATAAAAAGAACGACGTCGTCGATCTTCATCGTACATATTGTTTATCACTATCCACGGCGGTCATTTTCTATGATCTTTACACCAGAAAAAGAAAACGTCGTTTAAATTAATGAAAACTGCATTCTTAATATTTAGTTCGCTTTCTTGAATAGAGACATGTTTTTCTATTGACGCAAAAGCTACATGCCAAAAATCAATAAGTTGGAGGACTTGATAAATTAACTAAAACCGTACTCTCCGGTTGTTTTTTTAATTATCCTCTCTCGGAGCAAACCATCATCGGTAGTTAAGGTCAAGTAACTCTAAAACCATCCTGACATTGGTTCTGTATTTTTACTTTTGATAGAAAATTTGCAGACCATCGTCGCAGACTGATAATGAAAACAAAACATCGACCAACGTCCAATCCTATTAAGCAGCTGTTGTCACGCGAGGACGTAAAAAGTGAGCTGTAAGGTGTGGATTGGAGTCTAAGAATGTCAGTATCTACGTTCCCTTTGTCTAAATTAGAATACAGACACGCCGCGTCTGTCTGTGTCTCACCAGCGGTCAGAATTCATTCTCATCGAGTACTAAGTGGCTTAAAAGGGTGAATGAAGTGGTCGACTTTATCTGGTAAATTGCTCATTTCCTTCCTCTTTCAAGGTTACATTCAGGAAATATAAGTATAGTTTACGTTTTAAAAATATTGTGGCATGAAAAAGAGAGGTACTATTTCAAAAACGAGTGCGAGGGTTTCATCAAGGTTTCCAAACACGAGAAAACTGATGAAAGCACAAGGCCGCAGGCCAAGTGCTTTTATTGTTTTCGAGTGTTTGGAAACCCTAATGAAACCTAATGCACGTGTTTTTTAAATAGCTTCTCAATCGCGCCTCAGGAATAAAGGAAAATGGAAATATTCACGAGTTGTTCACATGTTGTCATTAAAATTAAGAAATGTGTTCGCTACAGTTTGATGCTTTATCCCACTCAAGGGTTTGATAACATATGAAACTCATGGATAACGTGTCATTGCAGTGTTACACCAGGGTTTCAAACAACATGCACGTGACGAAATTGGCGTGTCTCGGCGAAAACTTTCTATTTCAGTGATGTCAAGTGAATATATTCTCTTGGTGATATTTAACACAATTCGTTAATATTGCCGTTACACTGATTCTAATTCATGCATAATTTGTATCGAATATCGGCCTTCTAATTCTTGTATGGTGCTTTATCGAATGTAAGCCCTCAGTACAACTGTTATGAGAAACTGATGTAAACATTTTTTCTGTCAAACTATTTATATATTGTTTCCAAATAAAACTGGAAATGAGATGTGAGGCACTCGTTTGTTTTCATCCAAGTTTGGCTCGTGGTATTGTATACTAATAGGCTGCTGTTTCCCATCATCCCGAGTGACACTTACCATTTCTCAAAATGCAAGCTATTCTTACTTGGACTTGCATAAGTTCACCTTTATACGCTAAGAAAAAGAGAGATTGATTCATTATCTTCTGTAGACTTGCATAACATTTAACGGCTTACATATTTTCTGCGTAAAAGTTTTCACAAGCGAAATGGCGTAAGCGAAACCTTGAAAGAACAGTTTTTGGGCCTGTGTTGGTGGCGTTTAGCGACAGATGTTCTGTTGAAAGCTTCACCTCTACTTCCGATACTTGAGACCTGACGCACTTAGCACAGCGGTTTTCTCTTTGCATTATGTGCGAAGTGAAGCTACTACTTCGAGGCTGCCACAATCTATATCGCATCCAAAGGTAATGGCCTTGGCAGCCGTCCTGTTTGCTGCCGCTTATTTGATGCGGCGCAAACGACGTAGTCGGCACCAAAGCATTGCGAACAACTCGACAATTGACATCCTTCCCGCTTATGCTTTCATTTAAAGAGAATTTAAACTCTATGGTCGCCACAACGGTGAGGACAAAAACGAATTGCTGATTCTACATTTCTTTCCAAAAAATCTTAAAAAGTGTTTATTAGTATTGAAAAAAATAACATGGAAAGTGAAACAAGTTTGCTGTGCTTTGTTGAGTAATAATTGTTTTTCGGAAACCTTGTTTAATGCGCGTACTTTCAGTTACGACAACGTCGGAATCACAACGAAAGTGATTAGGGGGCGCAAGTTAGGTTTGATTGATCACATCTTCAGAAAACCAAATACTAAGAGCTTGAGCGGGGCGGAACCCAAAGGAAGAGATGAGTCATTGGTGTTTTATGAATAAAACTCGTGAACAACGAGGCAAGCGAAGAAGGCTACGCCTGGAGGCAGCAGAGGTGAAACTCATGGGGTACAAATAGTCTTAAAATGAATATAGTGACCACGCCCACTTCAACGCCCCACTCAAATCGAGTGTAATTTTCGAACATTTTACCATCGTGCGGATTCTCTACGGAAAAAGCACTCAATGTACCTCTGAAATATTAAACTATAATATTTTGGCTTCCTATTTCGCTAATTTTCTAACTTGAAGGTAAAGTTTTTCCCTCGTCATTTTAACCTTTTCTCCGAGCGGTTACGTGAAATTAACAAGGCGTTTTTGTTCAAAACACAACCGAGCGAAGCGTCTCGGGCGATATCCCTTTTACGCGAGCGCAATTTAAAAATGTACCGCCAGAATCAAAAAGAGGAACAAATTTCCTTTGTTTTGATATGTAAAGTGTCGAACAAAAAGCAGATTTACCCTCGTCAAATGGCGTTTCAAAACAGCTGTATCTTCCTCCTTTTGATTTTTTCCTGTTTTGTGAGCGTGAAAGCAGTAGGAAAGGGATCGGGAAACTCAGAAAGCACTTCGGGAATTAATCTGCCATTGTTTACTTACGAGATAAACAAGTAAGAATTGCGAAGTTCATCGCAGTATGAAGTCTAAATAAATGCTTTTTTTAAGCTTGTTCGCTGGATTTTTCGTAAACTTCCCTAATTAATTTTTCGTTTCAGCTTACTAATCTATACTATTTCAAAGCAAAGAAGTTTTCAGAGAAAACCATGAGTCGGTCCTTTCAATAATTGTAAACAAAGTGTTTGAGCAATCAGGTATACGAGGTATAATAATCAATAGCCATATATCAGAAGTCTTCAGAAAGAAAATAGTCTGTTTTCAGAAAGCTGTCAAGAAAGCTAGTAATCGTGACAATTAAATGCACTTCTTAGCAATTTGGAAACGGGCCCTCGGTATCGATTTAAGGTGTATTACAACGAGGTTAATGTACATCAGCTTAAAGATGAGAACAGCCAGTTGAGGGGAGAAAAAATAAAATTAGAAGAATCGTTGGTACAGGAGAAGGCAAAGCGATTGCGAGTGGATAAAAAAGCCCGAGAAGCTATCGAGAAAGCTGAGAAGAAAGGGGCCTTCTACGATAAAAAATTTATTCAGTTGGCCAAAAAATTGATAACAAATGGGAAAAAAGGTAGAGGCCCAGCTGAGAAGAAGTTTAATGACTATTCTAAGAACCATCAAAAGAGAATTAAAAACCAACTGAAGGAGGAGTGCTAAACTACACTCTCCTTTCTTGGGTTGTACAATTTTGTTGCAACTAAAATTGAAGTCCTCAACACTGAGACTAATCAATATGAAACTTTCAATCTTGTTGGAGAGGGAGAGCTGCTATTTACAGAGTCTGACCCAAAGGCCCTTAATAATGATGACATTGATAACATAAATATGTGGCTCTACCTCAAAGATAAATTCATCATTTCAAATGAGGCCTGGCATGAAATTGCCATTAAGGCTAATGATCTCCTCAATATATATTCCATCAAGAAGCAAATTAATGAGCCAAACAGTGAATGGAACTTGAAACCAACACCAGGAGATGCTGAAGGTGTTCAGTTAGGATTTGCAGAAAGCTTGCAAGAGCACATTGTTAGGTTTCAGAAGAATGGAGAAATCAATGATGGAGAAACTATTAAGATCAAGCTTAGTGGTGATGGTACAAATATTGGGAAGGGGCTTACAGTTGTCAACTCCACTTTTACTATTCTCCATGAAAATGATGTGGCAATGGATGTGAAGGGAAATTATATACTTGCTGTTATAAAAACTACAGAGACATATGGTAATCTGAGAGACAGCCTAGCAGACCTTCGAATGGAAATGTCAAACTTAAAGGAGATAAGTGCAAATAATTGCACCTATAAAATTGAATACTTTTTAGTTGGAGATTTGAAATTTTTAGCACTGGTATGTGGTTTAGGCAGGGCAAATGAGGATTATGCTTGTGTGGGGTGCAAGTGTCCCAAGGAGCAACAGTGGGACACAAGCAAAACATGGTCAATTAATGACCCCAAATTTGGTGCTAGAACTGTCACTGAAATAGCAAGGTTTTCCACTGGAAAGAAATTAAACTGTAAGGCACAACCATTATTTGATTTTATACCTATGGACCATTTCATCATAGATACATAACATTTTTTTTCTGAGGATTTCAGATGTTTTGATTGACTTGTTCATAAGAGAGCTGAGAAGAAGTGATGCTATTGAGAAAAAAAAAACCTCTGATGGATTCCCAAGGGATAAATATAAACACATGGCATGTTATGAAGAATTTATCAAAAGTATGGGAATCACTTTTAATTTTAGAATCAAAAAAGAGAGCAAAAAGCTGGAATATAGAGATCTTACTGAACCAGAAAAGTTGAAACTCTTTCAGAATATTCCGACCTATGCTTGTCCCTCATTACAGTCAAAACAAAGACATACAAGTGATCTGGGCTAAATTTATGGACGTAATTGGTGATTTGAAGCTAGATTTTACATCTGAAGAGGGTATTCTTGAACTGCAAAGAAATAGCAAATCATGGTTTGAGCACTTTCTCAAAGTTTACCAAGCAAAAGATGTTACTCCCTACATGCATGCACTATGTTATCATGTTCCAGAGTTCCTGTCACTTTATCAGAACATAGCATATTACACACAGCAAGGCTTGGAAAAATACAATAGTAGAGCTTCTAAAGATTTCTTCAGATCCACAAATCACAAAGGGGTTGATGCCCTCAAACAACTGTTTCTGAAGAAAAACAGGATTCAGTTCCTGGAGGCAGCCGGTTATGAAAGGGTTAAGAACACCTACAACGATGAGCTTGTATTCAATGATTGGACTTCTTAGTCCCAGCCAATACTTAATAGTTCCTGGAATTACATAGGCAAAATCTTCAGCTACATTTAAAATTCTTTCATCCCACTTCAGCCCCAGATATGAATCAAGCACCCTATTTGACTCCAATTGGTAAACCATCCTCCCTCTTTGAAGAACGCCGGGCAAAACACTCCCAAGACCTTCCATGAAAATATCTTGGTCAACATTAAGGTCTATGTTTATATCAGGGTCCTCTCGCCGTCCAGACCAAAGCTTTTTCTTTATTTCACGAGCAAGTTGGCCATGGGACGATTCTTTTCTATCCTCTAGAGAGTTTTCCGAGGGAATGAACAGCTTTTCGCTGTGAACAAACGGAAAATATCCAGATCCTCTATCGGCCCTGAAGGGTGTCCATTGTCCATGTGCTATAGCTAACGTAATGAATTTTCAACCTCTCTTGTTGATTTTGTCAACCTCCCTGTTCTCAATATCATACAGTTTTGTATCTCTCTATCGTGGATTCGCCTTTCTAACGGGGGTGTATGTTAAGTATTTATTGCAAAATCGCTTTGCTTTTTTTATTTCCCTCTTTGACCTATCAGCCATTTTGAAAATTCGCATCGTAGAGCATGCGCATTACGTAGGGTTAGTGGTCGCGTACACCTAGAACCGAGAAAAACAAATGTTCGTCGCGCTGGGGAAAGAGTTTGATATGATTCACCCGAAGTTTCAGATGCGTAAGAAATCTCACCTGAAACGATTGCAGCGATCGTCGAGAGGCGGTTTCTCGGTTACCTGCGATCTTTAAGAGACCAGACTATTGGTTCTAATTGACGTTAAAAAAATAGTTCAATTAAATAGCTATAGAATATAATTCCTATATGACTTTGAAGTAGCTCTTCATTTGAAGTGTCACTGTTCACAAAAAATTGAATGCTCTTTCGACCGTACCCTCTACCACAAATTCATTGAACACACTATTTGCGAACGTTTTACAATTGTTGAACACCCAATCGTAATTAGTCTTTAGCTCTCCCTTGCGATAAAGAAACTCAATCAAATCTTTCATTGTTCCTTTGCAATAACCATGTTTTATTTCGACTACTGGAGCGTATCTGGGGCATCCTTCTTCATAATCTTTAACGACGGTATACTTTACGTTCCTTTGAAGGAGAAGCGTTTCCCCTTCTCTCTCAAGGGACCAATACCAACCAGGTGAATCTACCACGACAAACTGATGGTTCCAAACAAGCTGGGTACGTTGCCATTCACTCAGAGGTCTTTTAAAAAGCCACATTTTTTGTAGTTTCTCGGAGTGGTCAATCCCTTTATGTTCGCTCATTTTCTCTCTGAGGGAGTCATGACTACAGTAATCATATTCTGATCCTGTGTAGAAGACCAGTTTCTCGGTCAAACTTCCACCTTTACCCTTCTTTGTGCCTTTAAATATAGACATTTCACAAAGCCTGCGGATATGAATCGAAAATGAAACAAAATTTAAAACTGTACGACATTTAAAAGATTTTTTTATGGTTGGATGATCACTTTAAGACAAAAAAAGGATTCCTACTCAGTTGCCCAAGATAGAGGGTCAAGAGAGACAGAGTGTCGTGAGCTATGTTAAGAAGGGTTAAGTTCAAGCACTTCCCAAAGGAGATGGAAAATGATGGAAACATTGTTCAAACTAAGGACACATTTCGAGGGGTCGCAGATTTGGATTGTGCATACATCCACCTTTAAAACTTTTTGGAGTTGGACTTAAATCTGGTCAGTCCAAATTTTGATATTACTAAACGTGAAATCGAAGGTAGAGAGGTTAACTCAACTAAAAAAACCATGAAATTCTCATTTGAATAGTACTGATTAAGAAGGCGAACTTGATTAACTAGACTTAATCAGGAGAGCTCAAGGATAATTTTTAAAAAAACCGGTTGTTTCCTCCTCAAAAAGTAAAAGGAGATCTAGAGAGTGATAATTGGTTAATAATTAATCTCCTCATTGGCAGCCAGCACGAGTCAAAAGCATCATGTTTAACTTTAAATAGAAAATCCAAATACCAGTAAGTAGAATCTTACAGAGCGTATTTTATATCAGCAAACTTCGACTTGCTCCAAGCTGTACTAAACGGTTGCCAGCCTGAAAGACAATTTGACGCTCTAATATTCCCAGGAAAGCATAATTTTTACTCGGGCTTTCCAAAGGAAACGCCCGAGTTAAAATTCCGGCTTCCTTTCTTTTTTTTTTTCGTTCGGTCGCAAATCGCAGTCAAGTCCTCATCACGCATGCGCAACCTTTTGACTCTGACGCATGCGCGACGCTTTGACTAATGAGCACATGGCATGGTGTAATGGCGGACGAAGAGAAGCTTTCGTGGTTCAAAATCAGCACGGAGACTGTGTATAGTACGCTCAAAACATACAAAATATGCACTCATCGTTCGCGGTAGACCCACACTAAAAGATGTCGAGCGTTTTCGGAACGGGTCGGTCCGCGAACTTTATGAGAGATCCATTTAAGAGCATGTCAGTCGATATTTAACATTGTTTTCTTATAACAAACTGATGTGTTCTTGCAAGAATGAGGCTCCATGCATGTAGCAAATTATTGCAACAATAAATTAAGTAGAGAAAAATAAAAAAAGAAGAAAAAACCTGGCCCTCCAACATATGTTGACCCTAACAAAACAATAGTAGCTCCATATAGTCAAAGTAACGATTTAGTTTTGGGGCAGAATGCTGGACAACGATGTGTTGAAATGAGTTTGTGTTCTTTCATTTACAATAACACACAAGGGATCAGCTCTGCAAATGATCTTATACAAGTAATGAATATTGGACATCAGCTTTTTTCAAGTTTGTTACAATTAGCCAGACAGGCATATTTAATGCAGTCAGAATTACCATCAGCATTAAAAGTGTTTGATACTGATTATCAACTGGAATACAGTGAAAGCCAATCTGGAACTATTCACCAAGAAATTGCTGTTACAAGATCTGATAAATGTCGTAAACACATCAAGATGTAAGTAACTAGCGAAATCACGACTTCTTCAAGACCTGTGCGGGAGTCAGAATCCTTTTTTTTTTCAAAATCATCCATGCCATAGTTTGGAGACAATTGACAAGAAGAACTGATCAAAAATATAATTCTTGCGAGTATAGTGGTAAAGGCAATGATTAGGATGATGAGGTCCCATTTAAGGAATGGTTCATCGTCCCTGAGACAGGGGCATTCTTCATTCTGGATGGCACGTTCCTTTCAGGGGACAGCAAGTTTTTGTCACGGGCAACACAGTTCAACAAAGACAATCATGCACAGATTGATGAGTAAAGTGGTTGCGACTTCGAAAGTTTCCATTTTAACAAGCATTAGTTTTGTCACTTGAACCTGTTTAACAGAGATGAGAATGAATTATGTTGCCGCTAAAAGCAAGCTACGTCATGCAAGCGCGGCTGTCTTGAAATTGCAGTTTTATTGTTTTGGTGTAACCGTTGCATCTATGGACAAAATTGCCTGCTTTCAGGTCATCTGTTTCGTATTAAATCTTCGGATTAAGGGAATATAATCTTCCGCTTTTGAAGGTTTCAAATGTTTTCGGACAACAATATTCGTAATTTGCATCTTCACACAGAAACCCATCCCTGCATAAGAAAAGTTTTCAAAATAATTGCGAGTGCGCTACCTGTACTCGCTTGAATGTACATTTACGGGCGTGATGTGACATACCGAGCTAATCCTTGGAATGTTTCTTTTATATGAACCAATTGTAGAAATAGATATTCGATCCCTCAGTGTTTTTACTATAACGTAATGGGCCGATTGTATGTTTAATTCTCTCATGGAAATAATAAGATTAGTTTATGATCACAGACGGCTTGGATCTTACGTCTTCATCGGAGTTAGTCCCGATTTCAATACGAATCATGAGCTTAATAGTCTTTCAAAGGCTTCTCTTAACCTTCAAAAGGAAAAGTTTGTGCACAGGAGATATCTTACATACGAAAGGAACCCGTTTATGGAGCGAGTCGCCATGCGTGCATCACACTGCATGTTTAAAATTTTGGCCATTCACCAGAAATTTTTTTCCACGACTATCGGTTAAAATCTGGCAATTTTTACGCTTAACGGCCAAATGTTTTGGCTGTTTTATGGCGATCGAGTGCTCATTAAGGATAACGCAGTTTATTCCTTTTCTAGTTCAAACGGTCTATATCTGAACTTAGTTGTACCTTTCAATTCGTGTCTGCTCTATGCGTGTTATTTCAATCTTCAAACGTATGATGGAACTCTAAGTATTTGCCTTCATTCACAAACCACATGAACCACGTACTAAAATCACACAACGGCATACGTAGTTACACAAACACGGACCATTAACCACTTAATGATACAAACTATGCTATTAAAGGCACACTTTATAACCAAAAGAATTGAATTATGTGTTAGTACCTTGCTGAAGTCTGATTATAGAAACAGATGGATTTGATATCGTGATATCTGTAAAATTCTGTGACCCACTCGACTCATTCCTCGGTAACTAGCGACGGCGAGAGCTCGATAATATCCGCCTGACTTGATCTTGACTTCAAGGAAAATCCTACGAAGTAGTTCAAATTGTCAAATTAGAAAGAATATGATAAATACTACATAATGACTAATACAGCACGAGGACATAAAGGTACCTAACGCTGAAGATTAAAAGTTAGATGGTCAAACGTCAATCAAGGATTTCCGCATTTGAAACTGTATGCAAATTATCCCGCTAGCATTAAGAGCCTTTGCGCATGACATTAAACTTCCAATCTCGTGCCAGTGAGGTTGCAAGACCTGGGAATGTCATGGAAAACAGATTGGAGGCATTTTGTTGGAGAATGGTAAATGTAATCTGGAAGGGAAAATACAGAATTGTGAGTTAGATACTGAAATGAATAACCCATACGAGGGAGGGGGGAGCGGCGGTAGCTGTGACGGCTGACGGTTCTTATATTTCGATTTTTTGTTGATGGTTAATTTTTAAGGTTTGACGGTTTACAGTCAAATTTCAGGGCCTTTGGTGGTTATTAGGAAAATATATTTCTATGAGTCATCTTAAATATAAAGGTGTTCTGTCTTTTTACAGTATATGAATAATGACTGTTACGGCTGTATATCTTACGCATTTTTACGATTTCCTTCTATTGGATGTTACGTCAGTATCTCGCACACTTTTAGGATTTTCTTTCATCGGATTATTATGTTAATAACTAAAGCACTCTTGGAACTCTCTTTCATTTGATTACTACGTTAATATTTTGGGCTTTTTTACGACTTTCTTTCATTGGATTGTTACAATGATATCCCAAGCACTTTTAAGACTCTCATTCGAATTCAAGGTATCTATCTCGTGCCCCATTAGGATTCTACATTACATCGGACTGTTACATCTGACTCAGTACCTCCCACCCTTTTAGAATTCCCTTTTATCAGATTGTTACGCTGATATCTCGCGGGCTTTCAGGACTCTCTCTCATTGGATTGTTACGCTAGTATCTTGCGTATTTTTAGAATTCTCTTTCATTAGATTGTTACGTATTTATCTCGCACACTTTTGATATTCTCACTCTTTGAATTGTCTCGTTAGCCTGTTAGTATCTCGTACATTTTTTTAGGATTCTCTTTCATTTCGAGTTAGTATCCCACACACTTTTAGGATTCTCTTTCATGCGATTGTTACGTTGGTATCTCACGCACTTTTAGGATTCTCTTTCATTGGGTTGTTTCGTTAGTACCTTACTCACTTTTAGGATTTTCTTTTATTGGGTTGTTACGTTAGCACCTCAATCACTTTTAGGATTCTCTTTTACAGGATTATGTACATACCTGACGCACTTTTGGGATTCTCTTTCATTGGATCGTTACGTTAGTATATCACGCACTTTTTGGATTCTCTTTTATTGGATTGTTACCTAAACACCACAACAGACAGAGGCTTGTTTTGGGACCAGACAGTTTATTAAATGTATATGTCCTACGTAAATAACACACTAGCGGTAATACTAAAGTAATTTCGCAATTAAAACGCGTTAGCGTAGTGAATAGCCATTGGCTCTACCCATGTCTTATGACTTATATGCAGAATAAATTGCTCAATCTTAAAGAAAAGAGAAAATACTAATTTGCACCCTGTGTGTACCCAGTCCAGGCCCCTCAGTTATCGAAGTCTAAATTCATATTAATAGAGATTAATATTCACGTTAGTATCTCACGTTAGCACTTTTAAGATTCTCTTTCATAGGATTGTTACATTTGTATCTGGCGCACGTTTAGCATTCTCTTTCACTCGATTGGAACATTAGTCCTTCGCCTACTTTTAGCATACTTAACATAGATCAAAGACAAAAACGTCCTGGATCTCGAGGGAATCATTAGGATGATGGCGAAAACTCAAGACACCCGAGTAAGGGTGATCTCAGTTGAGATTTTATCAAAAGGTAGGAATGGTACGTAGAGGCGTGTACAAAGACAAGTTATAACGTTAACGTTTTTTTCTCAACGTCACACTCTTGAGAAAAAAAATATATTTATTCAAACTGCCTGTTAGAGGCGAAAATCAGTGAAAATAAAGATAGACTGAGCATTTTTTTGTAAGACCAGTATACCATTCTAAAGTTTCTAAAACTGTTGTTAGCAAGCGGCTTAAATAGAGATGTTCTTTAAATTGTTTGATGATTGATATTGATTTGAGTTTTTGACGGTTGACGGTAAAAATAGATGCTTTTGACGGTTTTCATCAATCAATTTCCCTTTCAGATCAAATCATTTTTAACCTTTGTGAGTTTTTCTCCGTATCTTTCGAGGCCAATAAAAACAGGTGAGTAATATATGAATCATATCAAGTATTGTAAATAACAACAAAAATAATGGAAATGATAAAGATAGTATCCATTTTAAAATAGGAGTCTTGAGTCTACCCTTTTGATCAAGGTGACATTGGTCACTAGACAGAAAACTCCCGATCTTGGTGAAACTGAAATGAGTCCCATTTTCAGCTCTAAGCTTTCCTACACTTGCTTCCAATCATTTCTTAAATTAAATAGTCTCTTATAGAGCGCTGATTTCTCTCAGCCCCTTATGCTCCTTCTTATTAGAAGAATGCGGAGAGAAATAACTCCTAGACTGCTTTAAAGGCTTAGAAAGTAGAGCAGTATCTAAACTTTATGGAGATAAAAGGGTTTGAATTATTCTTTCAGCTTCCTTAATTAAGAAAAGTATTATTTAATTGTTATTAAATCCAAATCGGTAGTTGCTCGATTGATTACTACCAGAAGGAGGTTGAAAGGAAGCTGAAATTATAAAATGCTGCTTAAAATGTCATTCTAAAAGTTATGACCCGAGTTCTCTCAGACTGTTTAATCAAGTAAGTGTTTTTTATGTGGTTAGTTTGTTTCAAGTAAGCATCATGAGGAAGTTTTAAAGTGAAATGTATCTCGTAGTCGGGCTGTATTAATCGTAGCCTTTGTATGGCATTTATTTTTCTCTAATTCAGTAAAGTTGTTTTCACCATTTTTTTTTTTCCGAAGGTAAGCTTCTTGACTAAATTAACCCTAACGTAGCTAAGAAATCTACGAAAGGATCGGTTCGCTGTGAAGTAGTCTAAAGCTTCTTGTGAGATGCTTACGCAACTTGCTCTGATGACGCAAACTAGATTACGTATAGACCAAATCTTGCAAAAATTTTGAATGTGTATAGATTGAAACGTTTTAACTGACACTAAGTTTACTTTTTATATTTATGTGTGCTCTTTAAATTTTCTGACTAAAGATGAAGCTCTAAGTCTTGTTAAATTGAGGCCCACGATATATTTCCCTCAATTTTAAAACTTAAACTTTCTGTAGCTGAACTGCAGCCAGCCTTGACAGATTTCGTAAAAATTCAGTAAATGCAGGCGTCGAACGAACCAGATAGCAAAAAAGGTCTACTCAAAGCCGAGTTGGAAAGCATATTTGAAAAACCCTAACCGAAAGTGGCGGGTAGTTATCGAGTAGTGGTTAGCAATAAAGAGAACGACGTCGCTGATCTTCATCTTACATATTGT